GTGAGTGTCAAAATGCTCAAAATTCCAAATCTTTTTCTTTTAAAAATAATCATGCATTATTCTTAGGTGGTTCACAAAATTTATACCTCCCAACGGATCTTTTGACTAATGGAGTAAATGCCCAGTATGGTCCCATTAGCGCATAATATCACGCTGGGGAATTGACTTTTGTTTTGTTTTTTCTCATGGGGCCATGGGATATGCTTTCTTTGTACACGTAAGAGGGAAAGTTTTCCAGCTTTATTTAACTGTAAATGGATATAAGTTAAAACTAATGAAGTACAGTATGCCCTTTTGGCTCTTGGTAGCAAGTTAGATTTGTACAATTTTGCCAGCGCGTGAAGGAGAAAAGAAATGCCGTTCACAAAGTGTCGGCTATGTTTTGGGTTTTCCAACTAAGACACATCATAATGATCCTTTGAGTTTTTAGAGAGAAAAAGTTGAGGAATGATCCTCCTCTCCCACCCTTGTGATGGACCCGTCGTACAAATCTTTAGAAAAGTATGGCACATGGACCGGTGGGGGTCCTATAGGATCATTATTCGAAAAAAAAATTTTAAAAAAATATTCCCACTTAATATGAGAAAAAAAGTATAAAAAAATAGTTAAAAAAAGTTCCTATGATTTATGTTGGGAGAATATGAAGTGACCCCATTTAATAAACCCAATGGTATATATGGAATAGGGGCGGATATGATGGCCACAACTTCATTTCATAATTTAATATTTTTTATATACATAAAATTATAATTTATTATTTTTTATACATATAAAATTTGAAGCGTCCATTATTCTTATCAAGGGTCACCTAATAAATATATTAAAAAATAATTCATAAAAATAAATTGATCAAAATGCCCTGAAAAGTTTCAGGGGTATTTTAGTTAATTTAATTGTTACAAATTATTTTTTTGATATTTTTATTAGATTATCCTATTTTTAAATAATAGATACTTAAAATTTCAAGTGATTTGAATTAGTAAAAAAAAATAAAAATAAAAATATGAAATGCAATCGTGAATATTGGATCGGCTCATATTTAATCCAGACCATTGGGCTTACATTGTAGTTATCAATTAGTGGGCTAACCACATCTTTTCCTATTTATGTTATTTAAAACCTATTTAATGTTTCTGATATTATATTTATACACTTTTTTTTTTTGTAAATTTTTTAAAATTACCAATTTTCTTGTATTTTTTTGTTTCTAGTATCCAAAACTTTTATCAAATAATGAAAATCTGAAAATCCTTTGGGAATCTATGAGTTCCACATCAAATATTGTGCTTTGGGCAAAAAATATTTTTTGGATTTTCAATGTTCAAAAATTTTAAAAAACTTTACATGGTGAAAATCCAAAAGTTCCTCTAGAATTGATCAGTCCTAGATCAAATATTGTGCTTTGGGCCCAAATATTTTTGGATTTTCAATAATCAATTTTTTTAAATTTTTTTTTCAGATGGTGAAAACCCAAAATTTTTGAAAACAGGTGTCCTGAAATAGTTGTTGCGCTCTGGCCCAGAAAGGGCAAAGAGTTTTAATTTTGGGATATCTAAAAACTTTTAGACTTTAAATATCTGAAAAATGGGTAATGAATATAAATTTTAAAATTTGGTGGGAATTTTTAAAAAACACAAACAAAGGGGATATGTGCGTAATTTCTAAAGTTTATACGTAAAAAGTAAAATCGCACCTCAAAACCCCACCATAATTAGAAAAAATCTTAAATTGAATATCTAAATTTTTACAACTATCCATTTGAAATGAAAAGGATTTTAAGCCTTAAAATTGGAGTATTTTATTACACGTTATGCAAATTATAAATCCCTCAAATCTACACAATTTTTTAAACTTCATATTCATAGTGACACGTCAAATAGATTTTCAAGCCATCGAAGAGTTCCAGTTGCGAGTAGTACATTTTTTTGAGGGTTTTAATGTGGGGATGCAATTTTTTTAAATAAGCCATACGCTTTATGAAAACAAAGTAACGCCTCACTTCTAATCCACATCCAAAAAGCACTTTGCCGTCGAAAATCTTCATGATAGTTTTCAAATCAATTTCCAACAACAATTACCAAATTTAAAGCTAAAAAAATGGTATAGATCTTGTAAATATGTGTATACTTATTTTTAAATCAAATAGATGGTCTACATAACGTGTTACAATAGAGAATATTTTTTATTTTTTTCATAACGATAATGATTAAGATCGAAGTAATCGATTTGAAAGTTTTTGATCGAGAATGAAAGTTTTTGATCGAGAACTGCAAGTTTTAGATAAGTTTTAAAGTAAGGCTTACAACTCTATCATAATGTTTTCCACTATGCGACTTTTGCTTTTAACAACGAGGAATTGTCCTTGAGTCATGCTGATGATATCACTGAGCCCCAGCTAAAGTCTAATCTTCCATTCTCATTTAATGCAATTTAAAACTATTAGCTATTTCAAAATAAGTGGGAGTTCGTTATCCCCGTTGAATTAGAAAAAACAGAAAAAAAGAACACACCCTATTAATAAAAGGAAAAGGTTTACATAGAGTCAAGGCTCTAAAGAATCAAATTAGAGCCAATCTCAAAATAGAAGAGGTTATTTTGATGCTCAAAGATCATCAAATTGATCATCTTGACATCAAGATACATGAACAAGAGAAAAAATGGATTTTAACAATGCATCTTGTAACACATTTTTGAATTGTCAATTTTCAATATTTTTAAGTTTTTATAGATTTGCTATTTTTAAAGATTTCAATTTTGTAATTAATATAAAAATATATTTTAGGGCTATTACAAAGATTTCTAATATTAAAACCACATTTATTGACACTATTAGATGGTGCACTTTATTTTGATTGTTTAGAGCCTCGGCTCTATAAAAACTGCACCCTATGATAAATAACTGCCTTTTATTTGTAAGAGAAATGCCGACCTTTAATGCAACGGCAAGCCATGGTTTTGAGGAAAAAGCAAAAAAGGTATCCCACTTTCGCTTTGAGCACGTCAGTCAGGTAGGCCAGGTAATGGACTTGGCCTGGAGCCAGATGAGGTACAAGGCCATGGCCTGGTCCCAGCGCTCATGGAGACAACTGATGGTGACTACATGGCCTTCGCTTGTGATTTGGGCTAAGGCCGGGACCAGGCAATAGGTCGAGCCCATCTCCAGCCCCTTTTTAGGGTATTTCAAAATGGAAAATTGTCTCATGCGGGTTGAACCACATTTCTACATATGCGGTCCAGAAAGTGTAAAGCATCCGTATTAAAGATGTATGCGAGTAGGTGCTCCATCTAAATATAATAAAAACTAATGATCCAAATGTTTTCTTATTAGAATTATTATTTCTAATTTTTAATTTTTAATTTTTTTTTCATATTCATGAACTTCATATTAGAGATTATATGTTGTTAAAAATTAAGTCTTAAAATCTATCTCAAAAATAGATTTATTAAGAGCCCCCCATTTCTACATATGGGGGCTTGGTCGCTTACTAACCGGGTCCTTTCAAAATATAAACTTCCAAAACTGAATGACACCTTAACTAGGGTAACCGTAACTCATCAATACACAGATCAACCAAGGCCAAACTCATTAAAACGACCTTTAAAAAGTTTTAGATGTACTAAAAGTTTTTAAAATACTTATTCGTGCATGTATATTAAAATGAAGTCAGATTATCAAATAATTTGGATTTTTAATTTAGCCAAAAAAAAAAAAAAGGCACAAATTGTTTTAATTTTAATAAAAGTTTAATTAAAAAAATTGTAGTTTATATATATTTCTATATAATCCATATAGTCTGACATAAGATAAATATTATTTAGTATATAGCCTAGGCCAAGTTGATCCGGTCCTTAACCCCAAACCCAGCCTAGCGACCGGGTCTGGGTCGATTACAGGCTAGGCTAGGGCGTCTGAGCCTAGTCGTATAGGCTACGCGCATATTCACACCGTGTGCTCGCGCACCACGAACCAACATGCAAAGGGAAACCATTCTTGATGATGCAAGAGCTATGACCCATCATGTGATATTTTCGGAAGAATATTTTACCTACATAGGCAACAAAGTAATATGGAAGGGAATGGAGTTGGGTTATCGGTGGTTAGGGGGCAGATGTGTCAACATTACATAATATCGCAATATTCATTCACAGTAATATATAAAAAACCAAAAAAAAGAAAAAAAGAAAGCAAAGTAAAACATTTATTACTAAATTCCTTGTGGATAAAATATTCTTTACACCATAAAAAAAACAAAAAATTAAACATGATTTAAACAATTAATCAAAAGAAAATATCATACATATAAAGTGGAGAGGTGAAGGGTGCTAGCAAGGAGTGGCCTCTGGTTAGGGTGGCAGGTCGCCACAATGTCATTTTTAGGGCACCCTTTGCCCACTCAACCAAATAAATAAAAAAAAGAGTCTAAACCCCATAAAATATTATTAAAAGGATAAACAACTTAAAAATTACACTTAAAGATATGTTTTTCAATTTCGGTATTAGTTAGGTATATCATCAAATGAATATTAAATTGTTTTCCAAAATGCTCCTATTTGGGGTTGGGAAACTAGAACAATTAGAAATGAAAAACACTACAAAACGCCTACGGTTTTATCAGTGTTCAAAGTTTATCACACATTCACAAATATCTGATAGTGTTTCAATTTTAATATTTTCTTTTGCAAATCATAATGATATATAATTTGTAGGTGTGTGTGCATTATGCTCATGAATAAAATATAAAAATAATAATTTGAATGATAAAAATTACGTAAAATAGCCCTATAAAGTTTTAAGGTTAATTTCATCATTTTATGTTATGACTATTATTTTTTTAGTATTTTATTTTGATGCAACTTGGTTATATGTACGCATGCCCCAAATTTTAGATAAATTTGATTAGTAGAATAATTATAGAAATTCAAATACTATCAGACAACTGTGACCATGTGATGAACTTTTGACCGTGATAAGACGTAAGTAAAGTACTGTAGAACTTCACCTATAAGTATTTTGTAGATGCTTCCATTAAAAATGCTTTGATAACTTTATTTTTTTCCAGAAAAAACACCGCCAAAGAGTTCACCTCGACCACGGAATCGCGAGCAGCGGCCACTAAGATATCGGCGCAAGAAACAACGTTTCCATTGCAAACTTGGTTCACGGCTTCTTTGATATCATCGATCACTTCGAAACCCCTCAATGAATTCACATTGGGAAATGCGGTCTTCTCCCCTACGAAAGAACCATTATCATCCAATAGCACCGAACCATCACAACCCTACACCAAAACGGTAACACACTTAAAACCGCCCAACTACCTACAATTTCTTTCACAGTCCTAGAAGCCCATGTTATGTACCAGTGAAGGATCTAGTCCATTTAAAATGTATCTATCTGATCTCTAGTTGAAGTGATTGGACTAATTTTTTTAAAAAAAATTAATCAAAATATAACTAATTGAAAAAATATTTAGCATTTTACCCATTTCCAACTATTCCAATTCAAGATCATGTGCAATTTGGTGGCTTTTTAAAATTAAATCAAAAGATGGTAAAATGTTGAGCATTTTCATCTTTGAAAAATAAAGAAGTAAAATGTAAAACATATTACAAAAAAATGTTCCTAAACTTCGTTTAAACGGGTCAAAATTTAGAGAGTCCAACCAACTAAAATTTGATAATTGTCTTTAGTTATCTTTTACTAAATCTGGTTTTTAATTTAGACTATACTAATCAAGGCATCGGTATAAAATCCGACTGGACCAATTGATCTTAATAACTGTGCCAAAAACATAAGAGAGAGAAACTCACATTGACAAAACAATCATGAAATGAGAGGCGAAGAATAGAAGGCCCCAACCGTGCTTCTCTCCTGAGAGCAGCACGTACACCATTCCGAATTGTGGGCAGTGCTTGAGGGCACACATTGTCATAGAAATAAGGAGAGAGATGCGCATTTGCCAGTGCAGCAAGGGCCACTAAAGCAACTGCATGGGTGAGAACAGACGCCATGGAAGGCTAAACCAGTTGTGCTAATGTAATGGAGGCCTATGCTTCAAGGAGATTGAGGGTTGTGCATTTATATACACATGTGGAGCCTTCCCTAGTTGTTCCCGTTTGTCTCCTCTTTTTATCAATGCATATCTACTCTTTTGGTACCTTCAAGAGTAAAACAAATTTTCCCCTTGAAACTATGATGATAGTAGATGTTTTTAGAATTCGATCGATTGCTATATTGAAAGTACATAGGAGAACTTTTTATTTAAAAAAAGTCTTTAACCTCGATGGCCACTCGCTTTATTTCTCTTCGTAAGTTTTCTCTCTCTAGGTTCAATAACCTCTCTTTTTTTCTTTTCCTAACTTTTCTCAATATCGAAACCCCTCTGTCTACCTTAAATTCTCTCTTTACAGCCCAAACTACCCATGTTTTTCGACCTACCTTACGTCACTTCATCCAACACCCCCTTGTACCTTTTGCTTCCCTTATCCTAGTAGGAATAGTCTCATGATATATACCTTTTGCTTCCCTTATCCTAGTTGGAATAGTCTCATGATATATAGTTCATGAGGTTAAAAGATTTTCTTGCTCTCACGGAATAATACACTGTCCATTTACTCCCTCTTGTAAATCTGTAAATCTTAACATAGTAGTATTTTTGGGAACCCAAATCTTGGGGTGTATTTCCTTAAAACCAGTTACCAACTTCAAAACAAAAGAAAAACCCTTCAAGAATTGAATTCAATTTTTGGAAAGAAAGATCAAGTGTCAAATAACATCGAATCCAAATTTTTTCCTTTTGGAAGTAATCATCTAGAAATCTCAAGTGGATTCCAAATATTCAAATAAACTTAATAATAATAGTAAAAAACATCTTGATAAAAGCTTTCGCCCATGGGAGTATGGATACAGTATGCTCCCTCAAGAGCACATTATACGCCCATGAGAACATTTGTATCGAAATGCCACTATCAAATAATGCGCAAGGTAATGTTGTCAATGTAGGCAACTTTGCAACTTGATATTTGCTTAGCCCTCCCTCTTAAGTGCACACGGTCCATAAAATAATCTTCATTTCAATTGGTGCTATTTGTGGAAGATGACCCATCAGTGTTGGCTTGCTATCCAAAACATTCATTATTTGCCACTACACACGTGTCAAGACATAAAATATTAGGAGCCACAATAACAAAGCAGTTGGAAATTAATAGAACCCTAAGAATCTATTTGATCTTCAAGTGGCCACCCAAAGGGCTAGGCCAAAATGGGAAGTCTGGGATTATATAATAGGAAATGTGTCATTTATATGATATCAACATGTTCGATAATGGATTACTTTGTCCCCCCTTCTAAGACCCTTTTCTCACATACCATTGTTCCTTTTTTTTTAAATGCCTTGTGCTTTTTCCTTTTTTTTTTTTAGGGGGACTCGTATCTTGATTTTATAAATAATAGTCAAGAAAATATCATGGGGTTGAGAGAAATGGCTCTATGCTATGCTATCATTTGGGTTTCATACACTGTAATAACGACTTCTCAATAGCGTGATATATGTAAGTTTAGGAGTGTAATACCTCCTCAGTCTTTGTGTGGAGTACTCACACACTTTTGACAGTCTTGTCGCATAGGAATGCAATGTTCAAAGGGATTGTATAGAATGAGACTCTTTACGTCTATACAAGTAGAGGTCACAATTCCTTATAACCTTAAAATATGTTTTAATCTTTATTTATAAAATTCAAAGATTAAAAAATAGTGTCAATCTATGAAAATCTTGAAAATTGACGGCCCAAAAATGTGTTACATGATACATTATTTGAATTCTATTCTAATATAAGAGAACTTAGGGGTAGCTCTAATAGTGATAAGATGAGGGAAAATAGACTTAAGTGGGCCGGCTATGTACAGTGTAGACCTAGTACAACATTAGTTAAGATAGAGAATTCGGTCCAAGTGGGAGGACCTAATAGGGCAATAGGAAGACCTAAAACGACATGAATGAAAGTAGTGAGAAGAGATATGGTGGGTCATGGTCTGATTGAGGGTATAACCCTTGATAGAGCTGAATAACAAAAAATGATTCATGTGATAAAAAAAATAAATAAATAATTAAGATAAATCTATGATGATGATGATGCTTTAGACCTAATTTCGAATTTCTTTTATATTTGGGATTCAGATGAGGGTCACTAAAAGGTGAAATTGGTTAGGCTTATAAATCTTTGAGGGATGGGCAAGTCTAAAAATGGAAGGCAATGATTTCGTAGAAGCTTTAAGGGTTTCAAAACACCTCGAAAGACACATGATCCTACATTCAAATAGTTGCAAATGGATAAAATTTTTAATAGTTTAGTGGCTGTGTATGCGGTAATAAGACCATGAGCGATGAGAACTTTGGCATTCTTGAGGGGACTGTATTGGATTTGGTGATACCCAAATCACTATATAAAGAGATCCTATATTATTTAGGATTGGGATTGATATTAACTAGTTTATTAAAGGAAATAGAAATCCAAAAAAATTAGAACTGTTGGATATATCTCTTAGTTTTTGAGATATATGTAACATCTATAACCTAATATATATGGGATGAGAGAGACAATAATATGTGTACCCTATTTAGGTTACCATATTATAACTGGATTTTATTAGCGATATACATTTTATTACTGGATTTTATTTACCCAAACACAATGATATTGAACTTTTATGTAAGCAAGGGCCCATAAAGAAAAAAGAAAATATACATTGAGACCATTTACCTTTGATACAAGGTGGTCACCATAACCCAACTTGGTGATGTGGTGGTGCGAGGCACCTACAATAATGAGTCCACATTTATGGTTGGGTCCCACTTTGAAGTAAGAAATATGTGTTGGGCTATAGCGCCTCACATTTTAATGACAAATTACAAAGATGAACATACCCCAACGAGTATTAGCACATGTAGTAAGCCCTCCCCAAAAATCGAATTAGGAGAGAACCAGTTGGTTCGGCTATGACAAAATCGGTTGGTTACAGACAAGACCGGACCAACCCGGCCGGATTTGGTGGGGACATGGCCGGTTCCCAATAGATGATGGGAACCAGATCGCGTTCAACAATTTCTAATCTAAATAGGGCGGATAAATGATTTTTCAAACATTGGTTTTGGCTAATTGATGCTATGCGTTGAAAGTTGAAGCTAAAACCCAAATCCAGCATGGCCATCATGCCCTTATTTTCTCTGATGCAGTGTTTAAAAAAAAAAAGGATTGGACAAAGCTGGTCTAGTTCAGCCAAAATATTAGGAAATGGCTGGTTCTATCCTGTTCTCTGATAAAACTGGCCAGTTCTACTAGAGCATATGTCCCACTTTTAATTTCTAAGTTCTTTTCAATTTTTTGTTCTTTAATTTTTTTTTTTTAGATCAGTTCACTTGGCTAGATCACCAATTTGGACCGCTAATCTGTCAATCCAGCCCGATTTTTCCAATAAATGATCTAGGTCACTAATCCGTATTTTTAGACCTTGCTCTAATGCATTTTATCAGGTTCCTGTGCTGGCATTGTTCTCCCTCTCTCCCCCATTTGAAATTCTCTCTCTTTTTGAAGAGGAGACTTTCAACATCCTTATACTTTCTTTTCAACATGCCCATAAATTTTTATTCAAGCCATTTAGTTAATTTTGGAGGTTATAAACAATTTTATAAGGCTTGGTTATGTGACCAATTTTGGGTTAAAGATCTTGAATATTTTATACAAAAATTCACAAAGCCCGCATAATGATACGTGGGTTCCTTCGTATCATGGCGTAGTAGTTGTCATATTAAAGCTAGAGGAACATGGGTCCTGCAATCGCATCCGTTTATCTGGTTGAGGAGCTAGAGTTTGGCCCACGTATCCTCCAATTCTTCAATGTCCAAATCCGAGCAAAAATTAAAGATATCCTAATAATACTCGCATGGCTGTGGACTTGTGTGACACGAGGTGAACATTTTAATAAGGGGATTGCATGCTATAAGTTATATTCACTTTTGATATAGAGCGGTCACGATCAATCTTACTTATTGTACGTAAAATATGATAGATTGAAATGTGTCATGATATTTGAAAAATGTTATTTTAAATTTAGTGTTTAGTCTATGAAATATTGTTGGATTTGGTTTTATCCAAAATCACCCATATAGAAATCTTAATCCATTGATATTGATAAGTTTGGTAAAAAAATAGAAATCCAAAAAGATTAGAAATCTAGATATATCGCCTGGTTCTTTTAAAAAATCCAAAAAGATTTGGACTCTTAGATATATCTCTTGGTTTTTGATAGATATGTAATATCTATAAGAAGTTTTATAGTTAATGTGATTCCTAACCTTATATATATATATGATGAAAGGACAGATAATTTGTGTGTCTTATTTGAAGAATCATATGGGAAAGGTGGTTTTCTTTAGAGAAAGAGATGTACGGCTCCTCTAAAGAGAAGAGAGCTTCTTATGGAGAGAAACATTGCGATGATGTTTCTTGAAGACTCCTGAAGATTGAGAGGCTATAGAAGAGAGCTTCTTATAAGATTGAGAAGCTATATACGAGAGCTTTTATGGAGAGAAACATTGCGATGGTACATCTTGAAGACTTCTGAATATTGATAAGCTGATTTATTGTCGAGAAGTGGTTACCATGGAAAATTTGGGTTGTTTTCCTATTAGTTAGAGAGAAAATAAGTTTCCTGTTATTCTCATATTTCAATCTGGTGTTGTAGGTAATAGTTATCAGAAGTAAAGAGAATGAAGAACGATATATTGTGGTGGTTGGGAGAGTGATTTAAAAGAGTGTGCTCGACGGGGTTTTGTCGAGGGTTAGAGAGGTAACTCTATATCCCAAAATCTTCGATGCAACTTTCATTAGTATAGTAGATTTCACATTGTTGTGCTCGTGGATGTAGCCATTCTGGGGTGAACGACGTAAATTTTTGTGTTCGTTGTTATTTCTTTCTTGTTTTATTTGTCTTTAACGGTTCTTTTTTCACGTATTTTATTTACCAAAAATCAACCCAT